ACCTTTAACATTCAAATGTATGACCTGGCCTTTAACATTCAAATGTATGACCTAATGGCTTTAACATTCAAAGGTATGACATGATGCCTTTATCTTTTAAAGGTATGATCTGATGCCTTTAACATTCAACAGTATGACCTGATGCCTTCAACATTCAAAAGTATGACCTGATGCCTTTAACATCCAACTGTATGACCTGATGGCTTTAACATTCAAAGTTATGATCTGATGCCTTTAACATTCAAATGTATTACCTGATGCCTTTAACATTTAACTGTATGACCTGATGCCTTTAACATTCAAATGTATGACCTGATGCCTTTAACATTCAATGGTATGACCTGATGCCTTCAACATTCAAATGTATGACCTGATGCCTTTAACATTCAAATGCATGACCTGATGCCTTTAACATTCAAATGTATGACCTTATGCCGTGAACATTCAAATGTATTACCTGATGCCTTTAACATTCAAATGTATGACCTTATGCCTTTAGCATTCATAACCAGATGACTTGATGCCTTTAACATTCAAATGTATGATCTGATGCCTTTAACATTCAAATGTATGACCTGATGCCTTTAACATTCAATGGTATGACCTGATGCCTTCAACATTCAAATGTATGACCTGATGCCTTTGACATTCAAATGTATGACCTGATGCCTTTAATATTCAAATGTATGATCTGATGCCTTTAACATTAAAAGGTATGACCTGATACCTTTAACATTCAAATGTATGACCTGATGGCTTTAATATTCAAATGTATGACCTGATGCCTTTAACATTAAAAGGTATGACCTGATACCTTTAACATTCAAATGTATGACCTTATGCCTTGAACATTCAAATGTATTACCTGATGCATTTAACATTCAAATGTATGACCTTATGCCTTTAGCATTTAAAGGTATGACATGATGCCTTTAACTTTTAAAGGTATGATCTGATGGCTTTAACATTCAAATGTATGACCTGATGCCTTTAACATTCAGATGTATGATTTGATGCCTTTAACATTCAAAGGTATGACCTGATGCCTTTAACATTCAAAGTATGACCTGATGCCTTTAATATTCAAATGTATGACCTGATGCCTTTAACATTCAACTGTATGACCTGATGGCTTTAACATTCAAAGTTATGATCTGATGCCTTTAACATTCAAATGTATTACCTGATGCCTTTAACATTCAACTGTATGACCTGATGTCTCTAACATTCAAAGGTATGACCTGATGCCTTTAATATTCAACGGTATGACCTGATGCCTTCAACATTCAAATGTATGACCTGATGCCTTTAACATTCAACTGTATGACTTGATGCCATTAACATTCAAATGTATGACCTAATGCCTTGAACATTTAAATGTGTTACCTGATGCCTTTAACTTTCAAAGGTATGACCTGATACCTATAACATTCAAATGTATGACCTGATGCGTTTAACATTCAAATTTATGACCTGATGCGTTTAACATTCAAATGTATACCTTCATGCCTTTTAACATTCAAATGTATGACCTGATGCCTTGAACATTCAAATGTGTTACCTGATGCCTTTAACATTCAAATGTATGACCTAATGGCTTTAACATTCAAGGGTATGACATGATGCCTTTAGCATTCAAAGGTGTGACCTGATGCCTTTAATATTCAAATGTATGACCTAATGGCTTTAACATTCAAAGGTATGACATGATGCCTTAAGCATTCAAAGGTATGACCTGATGCCTTTAATATCCAAATGTATTATCTGATGCCTTTAACATTCAAATGTATGGCCTGATGCCTTTAACATTCATAACCAGATGACTTGATGCCTTTAACATTCAAATGTATGATCTGATGCCTTTAACATTCAAATGTATGACCTGATGCCTTTAACATTCATAACCAGATGACTTGGTAGATTGTTTTGTATGTACTGTTAATGATTTGGACTTTTTGTTAACAATGGGATATACAATAGTTTCACACATTCAATTGAATTTAGCATGTTTCAGTTATGGCTGAGAATATCAATATTAAAATCCCATCAACAATCAAGGTTTTCACTGTGTATACTGGTGAAAGACGGTGTCTGAATGTTAGGTTAACTGAGATTTATAATTAATTTGTTCTGATATACATGGGAGACAAATTTACTATTTTATAATAGTTGATACTGATTTAAAATTGCTTTTTAAGTGGATCCAGTCTTTTATTATAATGTCATTTGTTTACAAAATTTGTTGACTATTAATGCTGTTCTATTTCTATAGGCTCATAATATTTATTTACATGAAGGAGATGAGAGTGATATTGTGACCGGACTGAAACAGAAAACTCATTATGGCCGGCCTCAATGGGACCAGATATTCCCTACAATAGCAGATGCTCATCCCAGGTAAGTGCATCTCATTCCTAGAGCTACAATGGTCTCATCCATTGTAATTATATTCAACTGTGTATACCATAATCTTACTATTTGGTAAAGTCTCTGAATTATGCCATGATGAATGGTTTATCAAATGTAAAAGTCTGTCCAACCTATAATTTGATTAAATGAGCACACTAAAGAGTAAAACGTGTTGAGAGCCATGGGTGGTTCACAGTCAGTATGTTGAAGACAACAGGTGGTTGGGAGTCAGTATGTTGAGGACCACAGGTGGTTAGGAGTCAGTATATTGAGGAACACAGGTGGTTGGGAGTCAGTATGTTGAGGACTACAGGTGGTTGGGAGTCAGTATGTTGAGGACAAAAAGTGGTGGGGGGGGGTATGTTGAGGACAAAAAGTGGTGGGGAGTCAGCATTATGAGGACTACAGGTGGTTGGGAGTCAATATGTTGAGAACTACAGGTGGTTGGGAGTCAGTATGTTGAGGACTACAGGTGGTTGGGAGTCAGTATGTTGAGGACAACAGGTGGTTGGGAGTCAGTATGTTGAGGACTACAGGTGGTTAGGAGTCAGTATGTTGAGGACAACAGGTGGTTGGGAGTCAGTATGTTGAGGACTACAGGTGGTTGGGAGTCAGTATGTTGAGGACCACAGGTGGTTGGGAGTCAGTATGTTGAGGACTACAGGTGGTTAGGAGTC